CTGAAAAAACGCTGACCCGGCTTTTTCAATTCTTTGTTTTATCTCAACTGAGTGGTCCCAGTGGTCGTTTATGGTGGTTCCTAAATAGTTGTAACGGGGCACTTGGGTTGCTGATCTACCAGTAATTGACTAGATGGAATATGATTTTTACTGATGACCATGTATTTCATCCATTCCATCCTTAGTTTCAAAAATTACACACTCTGAAATCTGGGAATGTGTAGCTACACATTGAACTTTATTATCACTCAATACTACTTGCTGATCTTCCTTCTTCTTTTTCACTTGCTTTCGTACGATTATTTTTAATTTCAGAGTCACTTTCAATGCCACCTAGTTCAGGAGATTCTTTATCATCGGAATCCCATACATTTATTAGCAATATCTTGCGATTTGTAGCTGATAATCATTTTCGGGATATTTTATTCGCACTATCTACTTTCACTCTAAGTTCAATATAATTTTAGGAGCTTAGTTGTCGACACTAACATCGCTATTAAACGATAGATAGCAGTTGCATTCTTTATTTTAAAAAATATATAGGTACCTAACAATATTGTTTTCCAACAATGATTGTCACTTTTCAAATTAATTTAGACTATATATAACACCAATTGGAAGCTTTTCTTTGATAATTACATCAAAGAGATGTTCACATTGTTTGTTACACGTTTAGTTTTTATTATTGGATTTCCGAAATCATAAAAGTCGTTTATACAATCCACAAAAACATTACCTGACTGCCAGATTAACTTTTTTAACAGAAATTTACTTCTTCTTAAAGTGCCCTCTCCTCAATGGAGGTTGGCTACTACAATTTTAAACTCTTCTCTATCTTCAGCTGTTCTTATTAGCTGTTCAAAATTTAGCCCTGTCCATTGTCGGATGTTTCTGAGCCACGATAGTCTTTTCCTTCCTAGGCTTCTCTTTCCTCGATTTTTCCTTTCACTATAAGTTGGGCATATTGGTACTTATTATTTCTCGGTATGTGGCCTAGGTATGATGTTTTTCTAACTTTTACTGTGTTAAAAGTTCTCTTTCCTTGCCTATTCTATGCAGCACTTCTTCGTTTGCGGTATGCGATGTCCATGAAATTTTGAGTATTCTCCGGTAGATCCACATTTCAAAGGCCTCCAATTTATTTACGGTTGATGTTTTGAGGGTCCACGTTTCAACTGCATATAGAAGAGTCGACCAGACGTAGCATTTTGATAAATGTAGTCGAATTTCGAGTTTTATTCGAGAATTACAGTTTTTTTATTTTTTCGAAAGATTTTCTGGCCTGTTCTATTCTCCATCTTATTTCTAGATCAGGATTTAGGCTGCTATCGATTCGACATCCCAGGTATTGATCTATTCTAAAATATGCCATTTATTGTGCAAGGTTGAGGTACATTTTGGTTTTTTCGGATTGACATCACTTTAGTTTTTTTAATGTTTATTTTCATACCAAATTGCTCACAGGTCGAGTTGATCTTGTCGATGTGTCGTTGTAGACCTAAGTCGGAATCCGCAATTAACACTGTATCATCGGCGTATCTGATACTGTTGATATTTACGCCGTTCACATTGACTCCATCCTTGGAATCCTCCAATGCTTCTTTAAATAGAAACTCGGAGTAAAGATTAAACAGCACAGGCGACAGAACACATCCTTGTCTAACTCCCTTCTAATTTCTACTTCTGCGGATGTGAAACCTTCGATCCTAACTCCGGCGTTTTGGTTCCAGTACAAGTTTTTTAAGAATTTGATGTCTTTTCCATCTAAACCCACTTCTTGAAAACGTTCTAATAGTAGGTTGTGTCTTACTCTATCAAATGCTTTTTCGAAGTCTATAAAGCATATAAATATATCTTTCTGTTGATCGTAGCATTTTTGGGCGAGAACTAGTAAACTGAAACAGGGCTTCTCTCGTTCCCATGCCGGCTCTGAATCCAAACTGATCGTCTCCGATGATTGTTTCGCACTTTCTATAGATACGATTATGTACGATTTTTAGAAGGACTTTTACTGCATTACTCATAAGGCTTATCAGACGGAAACTCATTGCAGTGTTGTGAGTTTGGCTTTTTTGGCAGTGGGATGAATATTGACTCCAGCCAATCTTGGGTTTTTTATCTGTATCATAAATGCGATTGAATAAACGGACAAATATTTCGATATTTTCTTCGCTGATTAATTTTAACGTTTCTGGGTATATTCCGTCTGGACCTGGGCTTTTATTTGTTTTGAGATTATTAATTGCATTTATGATTTCAGATTTTAGAATTGTTGGCCCTTCGTTCTTCATTCTTTCAGTTTATCTTCCGTTGATTCTAGCAGTTTGCCATCCGTGTTTGCCAAAGATATACACTTTAGTTATAAAGTGAAATATGATCCGTCTGGCCCGCGTTGCCCCTTTACGTGACAGAATTCCTTCGACGCAATAATTTAAAAAATTTTATTAAATATTACGATTAGCTCATGACTATGTTGAAGGTAACATACTTCAAAATAAATTCAGTGATGCATAAAATTCAATAAAAATTGTTTTATCAGTTTGTGATAAAAGAATTGGCGTCTTGGGCCCCTTGGTCCCACCTTGTCTGGATAAAGAATAATTATTATAATTTTCTTGGCACACTTTATTTCTTTGTTAAAAAATTTTAATTCTGTAGTAATATAACCTTGTTTTCTTAAAAGTAAAGTCAATTAAAAATACCCTTGAATGTAAATAATCTAATGATAAAATTCATATTAATTTTATTTTGTATTCGAAATATCTGTTTGGAACGCTAATAAAATAGTACTAAAAATAAACAACAAACTCAAAACAATCCATTTTTGCAGCTGTATTAAATCAGTGTTTCTCAAAACCGATGAAAACATTGCTCTGCCAATACATAAAAACTAAATCGATAAAAACTAAAATGTATTGTTGCGTCTGTTCAAATCAATAAAATGGTATTTTTACCAGAATAATGAATTTAATTTTTTCAATTTTACAAATATTTATGAGCTACGTGATATGCGATTAATATCGTGAAACAAGTCAGCCAATTTTATAATGGAATATTTTACACTATAAATAGTGAATTTTGTAAACAAAATTTATTAAAATTTTAGATAAAAATTGAATTAAAATAATGTTTTCTTAAATTTCAATTTTCAAATGTTATTAATTTGCTATTATTTAATAATTGAAAAAAAGGTTATTTATACAAAAAGCAACTCCATAAAAAGCTCTCACAAGAAAACTTTGAGCACCATTACAATTATATAAAACAATGTCTCAAAAGTGTAGCAGAAGAAATATGTAAAAACCGAACGAAGAAAGCCATATGGATGGAATGAAGAAATCGAAGAAAAAATTAAGATTAAACGAGATAAAAACTGTTTATTTACTGAGAAAGTTTATTTACTGAGAAAGAATTGGACATGATTGGTTAGAATTTAAGCTGTGGAATTTAAGCGGAAGGTACAAGAAAACGACGCCAAGCCGATTTTGCGATGCCGGAGGAGAAGGTACTGTGTTATGAATTACAGAAAAATCTGGTTGTTTTGTTGCTCCATAGCCTACAGTAAAAGAAAGCAGAGTTGCTTGTAAATATGTATAGTGTTTGACGTGTCTGTGACATAAGACAAGGGAGTGGTAGCAGTTCAAATCAAGATTTACATCCTGTAATAAGGAAAACAGGTGTATATGTAGTGCTAATCTATCTATCTATCTATCTAATCAGCCTTAAACGCCCACTCTTGGGCATAGGCCTCCCCTGTTAATCTCCATTGGTCTCTATGTTGGGCGATCTGCATCCAGTCCTTTCCTGCCGTTCTCTTAAGATCGTCAGTCCATCTCATCTGTGGTCTTTTTTTTCTTTTCCCATAGTCTCCAGTGTAGAATTCGCTTATTCCATCTTTCATCTTTTTGACGGAGAGTATGACCGGCGAAGTTCCATTTAAGTTTTGCAACCTGTCTTGATACATCGTTCACCTTTGTTTTTTCTCTGATCCATGAGTCCTTTTTTCTGTCTTTAAGACCGATACCCAGCATCTGTCTTTCCATTGCTCTTTGTGTTTTGGATATCCTGTCGATGTTCTCCTTTGTGAAAGTCCATGTTTGTGAGCCATATATGATAACTGGTAAAATGCACTGGTTGAATACTTACGTTTGCATATATTGAGGGAACTTTTTATTTTTGTGTTAATCAGTAAAGTGAAAATTATTTCGATCAGTAAGTGTGTTCATGTGGGATCCACGAGGTGTTTTGGAGAAACTGTAGTGGCGGTAGGGTGTGTGAGAGACTTTCACCAGCTGAGGAGAACAGGGGTGTGTAAAGCATCCAAGAATACGAGCAGTAGTTGTTCAGAGCACAGTCGGATGAGAAAAGGAGTCAATAGAAAAATTATGTAAATGAAAGGTCAATCTGATATACAATAAAAAAGGAATTTAACCACAATCATAACGATACAATAACTTATTTAATTCTTTTAACATTTTGTTCCTCTATTTGATTGCATAATAAATATAAAATGTAATTAAGAGATCTTCTTTTTGAGGACAAGTCATGATAAGTAATGATAATTTGTGTATGAATATAAGAGAATTTTTTAATTTAATTGTGTATTCGTATTAATTATATTAAATTTTAAATATTATTCGTATTATTCGTAGGTAAATTATAAAATTTGATTTAATAAATTAAAAGTAATTTTTAAAAATTGTTTGATAATTTATTCTCACAAATTTATTTATTTTCATTTATTTTGCCATTGTCCACCTTTCCCTTAAAGGAAATAGTATAGATATTACTTTGAAACCACGTAGAAAAATTAACGATAAAAATAGCCCTGAGATTAAAATTGAATTAGAGAAATTTCTTTGTTTCGCAAAATTAAGCATAAAGCAAATTAATTCATATTAATTAATGTATATATATATATATATATATATATATATATATATATATATATATATATATATATATTTATACTGATTATTAATAAATATTAATTTTTTTAGGATGCCTCTTTGCAATATCCGATGGAATGACATACGCCTGGACCTCTCCCATGGTGCCCTACTTAACTAGCAACAGTAGCCACATAGAAACAACTCACGCAGAGGCAGAATGGCTCGAAGCTTGCTACCTATATGGATCTCTCGCTGGATTACCTCTAACTTTGTATTCAGTGAACAAATTCGGCAGGAAGGCCTCAGTGGTATATGCGTCAGTGATGGTGCTTGCCTCTTGGGTACTGATTGGTTTAGGGGATAAAATGATATACCTGTTTGTCGGTAGGTAAGTGTCAGTTTTAATGTAGGTCTTTATTATTTATGGAAAATTAATTGTTTAAAACCATGTTCCATATTTTCTTTGATTATTGAATATGGAAACATCTCTGGATGTGAAATGTGTTTTATTAACTAAATAATGGTTTTACTGAAAAACGGCGTTTTTTGAACATTACTCGTTGTAAAATATGTAAAAATAATACAGAGTCTTCCAAAAGGAAATTCCAAAATTTCACAGTTGGTAGCAGCCACTTTTTAAAGCTAAATCTGTCAAATTGTCTGTCATTTTTTCACTCTCTTTTGCCAAAAATCCGCGCCAAATGATAAAATTCATTATTAAAATGGGTGTCTCTGTTTGGGAAATATTTCTCCTACTTTGGGTATTTTATGATTGCCAGAATTCGTAGTGTGGTGGATAAATTTGAGTTTACTAGCTCAGTAAACAATCAACTGATATCTTGTCGTTACTGAAACCCAAGAGCTTTAATTTCAGAGCAAAATTTTATTTGATATGAAGTAAATAATACAGTCATTGGCCATGCTATAGTAATAAACAATGCTAACATAAATTTATAAAATTAAGAATTTCTGCTGTTACTGAAATGAATCTAATTTACAGGATAATTTTGACAACGTCCCTTAATGTTCACCTAAAGTTCCGTCTTGCTACAGTGACAAATAGAGTGCTTAAAGGGTGTGGTCACTTTTTTTGTCGCCAGTTTAGTTATTTATGGGTAAAACCTTACGAATTTCTTACGGATTGTACACTTATTCTTGATCAATTATAAACTTAATCATTGTAGATATATAACTAAAATTATACATAATTTTTAATAGTTTTTTAAACAAAATTAAAATTAAGCAGACGGGATACATGAATAATGGGACCGTAGATGAAACAAGAAATATTAGAGCTAATGGAAGATTGAAGAAAACACAGAAATAAGCCTGAGGAAAGGTACAAAGAAATGAACAACATAATTAAGAAAAAGATTAAAGAAGCAAATGAATCATAGCTACAAGATCAATGAAAAATGAGAGAAATACTCTACGAAAAACAGAGAATACTTGAGAGATGGATGCAATACATGGAAGAATTATTTAAGGAAGAGCAAGATACAGAAGTCGGTGTTTCTGGATGTTCAGGACTAGAAACAACGCTCAGTGAAGTAACATATGCAATAAAAAGACTAAAAACCAACAAAGCACCTGGACCTGATAACATACAAGCTAAAATATTGAAACTTTTCGAAAAAAACTAAGGGAAACCCCTAACGAGTCTACTGAACAATATCTATGAAACAGAATTTCCTATAAATTAGCTAGTTTCCACCTTCATACCTCTCCCCAAAAAGGCAAAAGCCACCACAATGTTCTGATTACAGAATTATAAGTTTAATGAGCTATGAACTCAAAATCCATTTTTTTGTTAATCAATCTTAATCTCAAGTATTAATACAAACAGCTCGAAACGTTAACTGCGAAGTCTATGCATGCTTTATAGATTTTGAAAAAGCATTTGATTTGACAAGGTGCAACATCAAAAATTTTTTCAGATACTGAAAGAATCTAGTATTGATGCCAAAGATCTACGCCTAATTAAAAATTTATACATACAGCAAAGGGCAACTGTACGAGCAGACAACGAAACCTCACAAGAATTCACAATAAAACGGGGAGTACATCAGGGCTGCATTTTGTGACCGACGTTGTTCATTACTTACTCGGAAATTCTGTTCAGGGAAGCTATTGATGGTTTAAGAGAAGGTATAAAAATCAGTGGTGAAATCATAAACAATTGATTTCACAACAAGATATGTAGATGATACGGTTTTGATTGCTGCTAATGCGGAGGATCTTCGAATATCAATAGACCATGTAGTGGAAGCCTGTGACAGATACGGCATGATATTAAACTGTAAGAAGATCAAAATTCTTGTAGTAAGTAAAAACAACTTGATCCAGCACCAATTCACAGCTATATTGAACCCTTGAAAATAGTCGACAAAATTACATATCTTGGATGCAACCTAAATAAGGAATGGGACGATTCACAAGAAATAAGAAGTCGTAGAGAAAAGGCGAGAGCTGTCTTTAATCGCCTCAGGAAGATTTTATGTAATATGCACCTGAACATTGATATAAGAACAAGAGTCCTAACATGCTATGTATTTTCTACCATTTTGTATGGAGTTGAGGCCTGGACCTTGACGGAGGCAACATTCAAACCATTAGAAGCCTTTGAACTGTGACGCTACCACCGCATGCTAAGAATTTCCTATATTTATCATAGTACAAGGAATACCGTGAACCAACGTTTGAATAAAGAACTGGAAATTATTCGTATCGTGAAAATCAGAAAGATGACATACTTAGGGTATGTGATGCGCAATAATATCAACTGATTCAACTAATTTTACAAAGCCAAAAGATCTCAAGGGCGCAAAAGGACATTGGGGTTGAAGAACATCAGACAGTCGGCAGGAATGACTACCATACATCTGTTTAAAGGAGCTGTCAACAAAGTTGTATGGACTAACGTGATTACCAACATCCACAGAGGTTAGGCAATAAAAGAGGAAGAAGTCCATAAGGTACATAAAGTACATAGGGTACCTTAGCCTTTTAGTGGTGACCAATTAACATGCCAATTATTATACGAATTAGGCCAATCAATATAAAATCTGATTCTGGAAGAATAAAACTAATTTACAAATATTAAACATTTTTAAACAATAAATGACATACTGAGTCATAGAGAGGATACTTTCGTCTATTTAATGTATTATTTAAATGGTTTTTAATAAAAATTGGTGGCTTAACATATTAATAAAACTCCAATCCTTAAGTGGCCAATCAATGTACCCTTTACGCTATGACACATTTGGTCAAATGTGCATAATTTGGTCCAAATAATTTAACCTTAGCCTAAGATCCAATAATTGTAACTCACCCTGTACATGACACAGTATTTTTAACAAACGATACGGAAAGAGCGAAAAAAAATCACATAAATACAACGATAATATAATTCTTCTGGCACAAAATAATATAAAATAACTATAAAATATATAATAATATAAAATAAACTATAATTTTAAAAGTATTTTACTGCTCAATTAGAATATTTTGTAATGCTAATTATTATAAGAAATTTACTTACGTGATTTTGGGATTAAAATATGTTTTTAGTGACACATAAGTATTCAATTCATGTTATAATGTAAATGAATATTCACTTTTAATCATAATATTGACAAAGTAGTTAAAATTTATCGTAATATACATAATAATTACTGGTAATCTACACCTCAAGAATATTATATTGCACCACGTATGAAATTAATATTCAAGAATTTTTCATCTACAGTACTAAAAATAGTTTAAGAAACTGAGGTAAAAAAAAGTTATAAATATAGAACGTTCCAAAATTAAAATGATAAATTTATTGAGAAATATTAATAATAAAAAATATTAGTAAGGGTAATATTGCCCATGCAGACGTTTGCAAATATTGGAACAAACACTTGTTACCTAAGAATTATTAGCAATCTTTACTGGAATCCAACATCGTCTATCCGTACAGTGGCAGGAGAGTCCGATGATATCAAAATCAAACGTGGGGTTCGACAGGGATGTATACTATCACCATTGCTGTTTAACATATACTCTGAGGAAATATTTCAAGAAGCAGTAGAAGATGTTAAAGCCGGAATTTGAATTAACTTTCCATTACTCGCATCTCAAAAAATTACACCATCACTCGCGTCTTAGATTTTATCTAACATATCGGTATAGGTCATGCTTTTAAGAATTTTGGATTGGATGACAAAGGGAATAAAAATAGATGGAGAATAACTAAACAACTTACGTTTTGCCGATGATATACTTATAATAGCTGAAGATCTAGGTATGGCAAGAGAGATGGTACAGGAACTCGTTGTGGCTACAGAAAATGTAGGTTTAAATATAAATATCTCGAAAACAAAAATCATGACCAATTTGGTACCCAACCAGAACATCAGTATTGGTGGGAAAGAAATAGAACTCGTAGATAGATATAAATACCTGGAACATGAAATTATGATTAGCAGAGATAAACAGACTCATGAACTAAAGAGAAGAATCGGCCTTGGGTGGGCAGCATTGGGAAAACTGAGAGAAACTTTTAGAAGTGAGCTGCCCACATGCCTAAAGAGAAAGGTATTTGATCAGTGCGTCCTTCCAGTCTTGACGTACGGAGCAGAAACACTTCTTCTTTCTTCTTAAAATACCCTCTCCTCAATGGAGGTTGGCTACTACAATTTTAAACTCTTCTCTATCTTCAGCTGTTCTTATTAGCTGTTCAAAATTTAGCCGTGTCCATTGTCGGATGTTTCTGACTTAAGAAACACTTACCTTAACAAAAGCAGTAGCTACCAAATTAAGAGTCACGCAGAGAAGAATGGAGCGGTCTATGTTAGGAATAACTCTGCGAGACAGAATAACCAACGAAGACATCAGGAGAAGAACCGGAGTGACTGACATCATCGAGAAGATAGCCAGACTAAAATGGAGATGGGCAGGACACATAGCCAGAATGACAGATGGGCGATGGACACAGAGGTTATTGGAATGGAGGCCAAGCGAAGACAAGAGAAGCGTCGGTCGACCACCTACAAGATGGACTGACGATTTAAGAAGACTCAATAAAAACTGGATAAGAGCGGCGCAAGATAGACGGGGTTGGAAACATGAGGAAGAGACCTATGTTTAGCAGTGGAACTTGAGTCTGGATAATGATGATGGGTATAGGTCAAATACATGAGCCATTAGTACTCATTGGTTAATTTTATTGGCTAATAACTCACAAAGAAACATAAACTTATATATTTTTAAAACAAAACTGCAAAAAAACTACTAGGTAAACTAAAAAATATACACATTATCCTAGAACAAAACAATTATAAGGGGATTTATTTAAAAAAAAATGTACTCATTACGTATAAAATTAGATTTCTTCCTCTT